CTTGATCAATACTAATTAAATAACCTTATTAATATATTAGAACTTATAATATATTAACAAACCTTAAGTGTTATTTCTCTCATTTTAGTCTATCCAAGTGCATGATGCCATGCAACCCAAATGGACCATGCCGGGTCGGGTCAAGTCTTACCAATTATAGTTATGGACTTAGACATTAATCCAACATATATAGTGCATGCACACACCGTATTTGGTATCGATTGTACTTACCCCACTGTGCCTTTACAGAGAAGTTCTTTATCGAGCTCTTCTAAGGCATTGATTCTAATTATTCAGCACAACTTCAATCATTGTTTTCTTTGTGTGATTTACTTTTATGTTAAGAATCTATCGATCAACTCATATTTGTTCTATCAATTGGTATCGGAGCAGAAGATTGTGTAAATCATACGCAACTCTTCTGTCGAAGTGTTATTAGGGTTTTTCCACTTTTATTGGATTTGTTCTTGTCGTCTTCATCGTTTTGACCGTTGACGTTGGATCTTGATCCTTATAACGCCCTAAACTCAATTTTAGTTTTACACATATGATTCTTTACAGGTTTTAGTGAATCTACAACATCCAACTTGAAGATCCACATACTCTTTCTTTTAATTTATCTAGCAACATTGGATCTACTACTAAGATCCCTATTCTCTTCCCTCAAGACTATAAAGTCTGGGCTTTACATTTTGAGGACTATGTTCTGGGTATTGAAGACCTTGGAATGACAATTTGGCGAGCAATAATAGAAGGAACATTCGTACACATGGGAACCAGGAGAGCCATCAAAACTCAGGCTTAGTACAATACTCTTCTTATCGATGTTAAAGATATTCCTCAAGATAAGCAAGCTAAACTGCTGAGCAACGTTAAAGCTATGAGGATAATAAGGTTTGCTCTACCCCCTGACACCTTTCTACCCCTTGACACCTTTCTCCTAGTGAGCTCCTGTGAAACAACGAAGGAGATATGGGATAGATTAAAAGAGCTCTATTCAAGTGACGCAGATCTGGAACACTCCATTTAGACGCTGCTTCTTTCAGAGTTCAGTGCCTTTGTTCAGAAGCTAGAGGAAAATCTTGATCAAACGTTCAACCGTTACAACCATCTTTTAAGTAGGATGATGAAGCACAAAAATAAAACGTGAATTAATAGAACAAAAGGTCACGTTTATGAATGGGTTATGGTCTGAATGGAAACAAGAGTTTCAACTGTTAAAGCTTATAAACAGTTTAAGAACTATTCATTGGCAAAGCTAGTGGGAATTCTTGGGTCCCACGAAGATGAAGTAACAAAGGAAGGAAAATTCGTTTCTGGAATGGGATCTTTAGCCCTGGTTGTAAAGGGAAAAAATGTTGCAGAAGAAGATTCTAAGTCCGATCTCTCAGATTGCGAACTTACAAAAGAAGAATACACTCTTATGGTATCAAATCTCAGAAAGTATTCAAAGAAGAACTTTGGACACCTCAAAAATAGGAAGTAGAAAGGGAATTACAGTTTAGACAAGGCGAAGGATGAAAGCTCGCAGAAGGACCAGGTGAAGAAAGAAAACAAGCTGGTGGGAGATTATGGCTATGACTGTAATTATTGTCATGGCAAGAATCATTTGGCAAAAGAGTGCATGTTAAAAAGATTGAGTGAGAAGAAGGGCAAAGAAGATTAGGATGAAGCTTACTATCTTTGGAATATAAAAGAGCTTATAAAGAAGAAAAGTGATGATAATGCTAAGCCTGCTTTGATTGTGAAGGAAGATGATGACGAGTTTTGAAGAGCTGAAGTTTGGTCGATTGATTCATAGAATGAAGAGGTTTGCAGACCCACACATGGTGAGTGTTTCGTTGCGAAGTCTGAGGTCCCCGGGTACAAGGGAAAGTGCATGATGGCTGACAATGATGTTTCATAGCAAAGAGGATACGCCACTGATGGCGGCAAGGCTTTAGAACAACTGCTTCGTTGTGAAACCTGTCTTTGAGCAGATAAGTGAATGTGAGAAAGTGATCAGAAAGGTACATTCAATTCTCGAATTTATTAATATTTCTATCTCATGATATGAAACTGAATTAGAAGATTTAAAATTTACACTCTCTAGTTTAAATGATAGTTTAAAAAGCACCCGTTTAAGTAATACTAACTTAACTAATCAAATCAGCAGGGTAACATTGAAGAGAGACAAATGTGGATTGAGAAGTTAGAGTTAGATTTGTCTAGGTCTAGGGATGATTTGACTTATTTGCAACGAGACAATTTAGGTATTTTGAAACAACGAAACATTTTCTGTTTGATTGGTAAACGTCTTTATTTTAATATTACTCAGTTACATATTAACCGTGAAATAGGCTAGAGTATACATAAAATGATTTTTCCCTTTCTCAAGTTGAAAGAGGACGGAATTGATGCAGACAGCTACAAATGCGAATCTATCGTTTCTTCTGAGGATGTCTCCGAATCTTACAAAATTGGACTAGACAAAATTGAAGCTTATATTCAGTCCAAAGAATATAAATATATGTTGAAATAACGTTTGAGTGAAAAAGATAAAGAGCATATTAAATCTGATACTGTACAAAAATTTGACTTATTATGCACCAAATTAAGTTCAGAAAATACCCTTGATGTTGAAAATGTATCTGAATTTGATGATGAAAGTGACGTGAGTGAAATCTTTGTGGAGGATGAGATTTATTGTTCTGAATTTGTAAAACGAGAAACTAAACCAAACAAAAATCTAATTTCTAAAAACTCTGTTGAGTATGTTCATATTTCTAAAATAATGGTTCAAAGGTTTTAAAAGAAAAGGCAACAGTTTTTCCGAAAGTTCAAACTGTTCCGAATCAAGTTGTCGCAACCTCTGGATTGAAGAAAAATTAGACTTTAGAATTATGGTCCCTTGTAGAAAAAGACAATGAAGATAGGTGCGATGAATGCTTTGGGTCTGCTCTCATTGATAATGCAGATGAAACTCAAGGTCTGTCTAAGATGACCTCTTGGAAAACGAAGGGAAGATACATGGCAGAACCACTGAACAAGGTCAATTCAAGCTACGAGAAAGGCAATCCGAGTGGAACCAAAATGTTCCAAATGATATATCATCTGAATAGACTGACCCTCCTGCTAGAAAAATGAAACATATGGCTAGTGTTCATAAGTCAGCAGAGGAATTTGTTTCCAAGAAATGTCAACGAAATGCTAGATATAGGAAAAATCTGAAAGAGAGAAAGAATTTCTGGAAATCTAAGAATTCCAACTTTATTAATCAAGAAAGAATCGATAAATCAGAATGCGAATGTCTCTTCAAATCCGAATACTAAAAGACTTTCAAAACCCCAGTCTTCGTCTCCACCGGTTTCAAAACCAAAAGTCTTTCAAACACCATCATTTTCAAAACAAACGAAATCTTTTGAAAATACGAAGCCCAATTTCACTCCATAACCTAACGTTTCAAAATCTGTCAACACATCAAAAGATGTTAAGGGCAAAGAAAAGGTTGTGTTCATAATCTAAAACTCTTTTCAAGAAGACCAAAACACACTTGAAATGGGAGAAAAAGAATTTTGAGAAAAAGGTTGCCAAGCAATAAGTTGAAGTTAAACAAAGAAAAATCACTTTTAAAGAAAAGAATTCTAAAGATAACATGTTGGTATGTACATGACCCGATACTAGCATGGTCCATTTTGGGTTGCCTGCACCAGAACAACTTGATAGACTGGATATTTGAGAAAGAGGTTATTTGTGATTTATTAAGATATTATAAGAAAAATATATTAATTGAGAAATCATATTATTTAATTAGTATTGATCAAGAATTAATTTGGAATTAATTTAGTGATCAAAAGAGACTGATTAAATAAACAGGGACTGATTATGTCAATCAGTGAAACATATAATTTGGGCTAATGATCCATGATTGGTTTGTGTTGGACTAAGCTTATGTGAAAGTCTATGAAGTGTTAATCCAAATCATATTGTTGGATCATAAGCTTAAGTGTAAGAATTAGGGTTAACACATGACTCTTGGAATTTTACACTATAAATAGTTTCCCTAAGCCCTAAAATCGGCACCCCCTTTCATTTGAAGATGAGTATAGCCGATTTATGTCTCCTAAACCTCCCTCAGATCAATCTAGTTGTTTATTGGTGTTTGTGACTTGTTTGAGGAATCACACTTGAAGTGCTAAGCTCTCTTAAGGCCAAGTTTTGCAAGCTACTACACAAGGTAATCTTCTAACTAGTTTTTATGATTCATATATCACCTTTGCATGCAAGTTAGGCTTCATGCTTTGGAAAATGAATACTGCATGTATAATTAGATAAAACTTAGATCCAAAGCATTAGGGTTGTATGTGCACCATAAGCATGTTAGAGTACATAAAACCCAACATGAACTTGTTGATAAAATCTATCACCTTTATGAAGAATGGAAAAGCCGTCAATTCGAGCTGGAATAGTTATGAAAGGATTTCAACAAAATCAACAAAGAATTCGCCAAACTCAGAGTTGCAAGACAAGATGCGACTTCATTTATTAAAGATATCGAGCTAAACAAGCAATTGACTACAAAGAAGAAGAACATGTTGATAGAACAAATATGAGTTGATCGATAGATTCTTAACTAGAAAAGTAAATTAAACAAAGAAAACAATGATCGAAGTTGTGTTGAATGATTAGAATCAATTCCTTATAAGAGGTTGATAAAGAACTTCTCTGCAAAGGCACGGTGGGGCAAGTACAATCGATACCAAATATGGTGCATGCATGCACTATATATAATCTAACCCTAAAATCATTAAAAACCACGTGGATAGGCCCAACCCATTACAAAATGGACTATACTAGCACAAAATACAATTAACACAACACAAAATATCCCAACAATCTCCCCTTTTGTGTCAATTAAGGAAGGCAGATTCTTCAGTTTTGTTGCCTTTTCTGGACCTTGAAGAGCTTTAACATGAGATTGAGGAGGGTGCTGCGAACTGCAATATACCATCTGATCATGTCTACGAAGCATCTGTTGCACGTAGCAGCATTCGCTTTGTTCTCCCAATCAACTCCAAATTGTAGTTCAAGCAGGAAGTGGAGTAAATATGTTTGTCATAAAGGGTGAACAAACACTTCTGAAGATTCGAACTCTCTCTCGCACTTTGTTGTAACATTACGCTCCGGTTTTCTTTCTTAATCCTTCTGAGCTTCATCTTGTTAATGTCTTTCGAAGATTCTTTCAGATTAACAATAGGCTTCCTTCGTAAAACTGCCAGAATATGTACATCCATTTTTCCAAATTCTTGTATGTACGAGATTAGCATCCTTTTGAGATGCGCCTCAATAGGTTCATATTTATGTTCATCCTTTAGCAAGAGATGAAATAGATAGATCCAGTCAAATGGGTTAAGGAACAACAAGTCTTCGAGTATAAACTCAAACATCGAAATCACAACACCTCTAGCTGTTTTAAGTCTCACATTCAGGAAGCTTTCAGTTTCAATGGGGCGATAAACCTTCACATCTCTAATCTTCTTAGAACTCCAGGTTTGATATTGGGGCTTGCCATGCTTCAGATAAAAGGAGATAAGCAAAACATTAGCATCGTGATCAGACTCAGGAGCTTTCTCAACTTTGTCAAAACTCCAAAACAGGAATGCCTTCGGAGTAATAGGAAAATCTAGCTATGAATCCAAAGTGTTTTCTAATTCAAACGAAGTAACAGGCTCCATCCAGTGAACACTTGGATTGTCGATGGCTTCATTCAAGATTCGCTCAATTGACTAGGGGGAAAAGAGATTTCTGAGTTTTCATAGTATCTTGGGCTTCACAAGCTGCCCTCTCTCGTGATTCAGCTTCCTTGTCAAATTTTAGATTCTCATCTAACTCTGCATCACGAGTTCATCTTTGCATTTTCATCCTCTTCTTCTTCATCATAATCATCATCATAAAGATTTCTTTTACCCTTTAATGCCGAAGCTTCATTACCCTTCGTATCATTAGGATTTGAATTTTGTTTATGCTCATCAGAGCCACTTGTTGATTTCTTAGGTGGTTCACCAGATGCTTTTGTCACTTCTCCCCCTTTTTTTGGAAGAGAGATCTATGCCGAAACACCTTCAATTCTATTAAGAATTGAGAATACATGATTGAGCTTGTCAGATAGATGTTGTCAAACAAAAAATGTAAGCAACGAATCACGAGTTTCTACAAGATTTTGCAGAAAAAGGTTTACATTAGCGACATAAATCTTTTATCATAGCATGTTTGAATTTGAGCTCGTCGATCTTCAGGTTCACAAGAGATAACTTCACAAAAAGAACTTTCACCTTCTCTACTTTGACTGCGAGTTCATCCATAATCTTGTTCTTAATGGCCAAATCCTCTTGAGCTTGTTAAGCTTGGAAGTAATTGATGTTTGTAGCTCAGCATGATCATTCTGAAGATCAGTTCGAACCTTTTCAAGTGATGCTTTCTCGGTATGAAGAGTTGCAACAAGACTAGAAATCAATTTGTTCACATTCGTTGTATTTGATTCAAAAGAGCTTTGGAAAGTACCCATGAAAGTAGTAACCTCAGAAAGTAGTTTTTCAACTTTTTCGGTTGTATCCTTGCAAGTTTTCTTAGAATCCTCAACATCCTTGTTGGATTTAGTAAGAATCACAACATGCTCTTTCGACAAAGTTTCTATTGATACTATGTGAGATGCGAGCATGTATTTAGCAGAGGAAGCAGACTTTGTAGATTCTAAGATCTTGTCAAGTTTTTCATTCAAATCTTTGAACTACCCTTTCGTCACAGGGGCATCTTCATCATCACTAGATTGTTGAATGGTGAATGGGCTGTAATGACCTTCTGCAGTAATATGGAAACCCTAATAATGCTCAGGCAGATTTCTAACTCTATTGGAATTCCTTAGAGGTACAGACTCATCAATTGGCTCAACAACAGTTTACTCCTTGGGTTGATTGCAAGTATCTGAGGTTCCTTCACCGCTTGACTCCTAAATTTCTTCAAGGTCAATTTTCCTCCCAATGTTTCCGTGGCTTATAAGTTCTCTCTCATGAAAGACTCCTCTCCTTTCCACAAAGACCACATTCTTATTGGGTATGTAGAAGAGGTAACCAAATATTTTTGTGGGTAGCCGATGAAAATACACCACTCACTTCAAGATTCGAGCTTATTGTGAGTCTCGCACCTCACGAAAGCCACGCAACCCCAAATCTTGATGTGGTCTAAAGTGGGAACTTTCCCGATCCACATCTCGTGATGTGTTTTGGCAACCTTCTTGGTAGGGACTAGATTAAGGATATGGGTGGCAGTCTTTAAGGCATACCCCAAAATGAGATTGGTAACGAAGATCGACTCATCATGGAATGAACCATGTCCAACAAGGTTTGATTGCGCCTATCAACCACACCATTAAGTTGTGGTGTTGTCACACCCCGAAAACCGAAGGCGGAAAACATTTCCGGGGTTGACTACCACGTTGAGTATCAAATCCAATGTACATAGTAAGTAAAGTAAAGCAACCATTACATTACATAATAAAAGTTTTACAGTTGTTCAAAAGTAAAGTTTGTACAGTTGTGATACATAGTATATATAGACAAAATGAAACGGATCTTCATGTACTCCGTCTTCGAGCAAAAGGATCTTCGGGTACCTGTTCTAACGTCGACTTGAGAACACAAGCGGTTTGAAAATCAGCATAAAGCTGGTGAGTTCATAAGCGGTTTTGTTTTATGAAAATGTATCGGTTTCCTTTCTGTATCTGAAATGTTATGTTCACCAAGAAAATCCCGTATTTTCTTAATGTTGGTTATTGTTTCACAAATGTAAAGTATAGTAAGTTTGTACCCTGAAAATATATTTATTCATGTGAAAATGTATAGTTGGTTATCTGACTGGTTGAACTGTCCTGTTTACTTATCATGTGTTACCAGGAAAGTCCCATACTTTCCTTATTGTATGTTACAAATTGTAAAAGATGTAATGTTATCAAGTTTGCTACTCTTTCTAGTTATGTAAATGTTACCCAGGAAAGCCCCATGCTTTCCTGCATGTATGTATCTAATGTAAACGATGTTAAAGATGTAAAAGATGTAATCGTGATTAGGTTCTATGTTTTCCCCAGGAAAGTCCCGTACCTTCCTGAATGTTGGTTATAGTAAGTAAAAGATGTAAAAGATGTCAAAGATGTAAACGATGTATAAAGTAATCCTTTATTACTGTAAGTAAATCTCTATTATCCTAATCGCGAGTTCCATAACCATACAATAGACTGAAACCTGTGGCAATAAGTAGTCCACATGTGGCAATAAGTCGTCCATATACTTATGACTTTCATCACCCTTGAACCGTTTCGGTTCGGCTGTAGCTAGCAGCCAGGTGTGGGGTAGTCAGCCCCGTATAGATCTATACACTCAAGTCACGCTCTCTAAATACCAGAGATTCTGGTTATGGGTGTAGTCCTCCACTCGCGTAATCTGGGTGGAGTGTTCTCCGAGGACGTGTCTCCAATCATACAGGAATAACAAATTTACTAGTAATAATATGATAGTCCTCCACTCGTATATGTGTGTGAAGTGTTACCGAGGACAAAACAGTGTACAGGTATTGTATTCAAATGTTTCAATATCATGCTTTTAACTGATAAAATATGGAAGAAAACCATTTGTGAAATACATGCAAAACATACTAGTTTAAAGATCTATTTCACAAATATATGTTACGTGATCTGTATGTTCAAGTGGTTATCGGATATGGTAATCAGTAATAAAAGCATATGAAATACGAAACACACATTTGAAAACATGTTTTGAGTACAAGAATTTCCTTGTACTTTGCTTATGTTCCCCCCCTGAAAACAGTGAAAACAGTGAAAAAGGGTAGGGGTATGAACTCACCGGACTCGGAAACGTGTCGGTTTTGAATGCTATACGTCGGTTCGGGGTTTGATTACTCGCGATGACCCTATGTAAAATGATATAATGTCCATATATATACAATTAGAGATACATTCACTAATCATATGGAACATTACACTCCAATGAGGTTAAACACCTCAAAACGAGCGTTTGGAGTGACCCGAGTGACATCTTCGGACTTGTAATGGCTCTAGGGACTTGGGACTTGAGTTTACTCCCCAAGAGTAAACATTTTAAAGAGTTTACAACCATTAAAACACACACATACATGAGTTTACGGCCGTAAACTCATGTGGGTGTGGTTTTGATGGTTTAAGGGCTCAAATGGACATAGGGGTTGCTAGAATGGATTATCTAAATTGCCTTGGAACACTTGGAATGAGTTTAAATCATCAAAAATGATTATTTTATGGGAGTTTACGGCCCAGTATAGGCTCCTGGCCGTAAACTCCTTAATCTTCATGAAAATGATGTTTAATGTTGTTAAAACAAATCACATGTGATTACTAGAATTATTCCAAGACCTTACATGAGTTTTATGGGACATTTGAGGGGTGTTATGGAGTTTACGGCCCATGAGACCCTCCTCATGGCCGTAAACTCTTATGTAGGGTCATACAAAGTGTTTCAAGGTCTAAAACTTGCATAGAAGGGCTTCTAAAATTCATCTAAAGGCTTTAGGGGTGTTTAGTTTGCATTCTAACGCCAAAAGTTTTGGAGTTTACGGCCCAAGAACAAGCCTTGGCCGTAAACTCTTATAAATCCCACAAATGATGTGTTTTAGGCCCTTAAAGTATTTTTGGTTGGTCCCTTGATTTATTCCAAGGCTTTTGGTGGTGTTGGATGGCTTTCTAACACCTTAGAATTGGATTTATGTCACATTTTGGGGAGTTTACGGCCTAAGCACTCTCATTGGCCGTAAACTCACATAAGTCCCATAAAATTCATGTTTCAAGTGTCCAAATGCTAAAACCAAGGTCCTATAATTCATATCTAAGCCATAGAAGTGATTTGGAAGGGTTTAAGGGCATGAAAACCCTAATTATATGAGTTTACGGCCCAAGAATGTTCCTTGGCCGTAAACTCCTTCAAATGGCTCAAAATCTATGTTTTAAATGTTTAGAGTCCAAATCTTGAAGTCCCATAGCCATATCTAAAGTCCAATTGAGTTTAGGAAGGAGTTTAAGGGCTTAAAACCCCATTTAATGGAGTTTACGGCCCAAGCTTGTTCCTTGGCCGTAAACTCATGTTCTTGGACCTAAAACTCAATTATTTCATCAATTTGAAGGTTAAAGATGCTGAATAACATGCTAGGGAGGTTACCTTAAAGATTTGAAGCCTTAAACTTGAGATTTGGACCTTAATTCTAGCTTGAGGAGAGAGGTTGTAAGAGTTTAGTGAAAATTGCCAAAGGCTTCAAATGAAGTCTTAAACACGTTTATATAGTGTTTAAGTTTTGGACACGGTGGAATTCTACCCGATACCGGTGTTAGACGGGGTTTTTGGTCGTACCCGATTAAGTTACCGTAACCCGATACGGTAATATCTAGAAATATTCCGATCACTAAAGTTGAGTGTTAAAATGATTTTTAAATGTATTAAGACACCCATTAAGTCATTTTAAATGTGTACCAGATAATGACTTAATTATACGGAAGATCGGAAATCGAAATCGGAACGAAGATCGGTTGCACGAATTGTACTACGAAAAAGTTACAATAAATGATATGGAAATTTCGGGTTGTTACATTATCCCCCGTTAAAGGGAATTTCGTCCCGAAATTCAAGTTTAGAACATAAGACAAGATACAAATCATGGATAAGAAAAAGTTGTGGATACTTCTGTTTCATTGAGTCTTCCCGTTCCCAAGTGAATTCCGGTCCCCGCTTGGCATTCCAGCGAACCTTCACTAACGGGATGCGACTTTGTTTTGTACGTTTGACTTCTCGATCCATGATTTCGATCGGTTCCTCCACAAAGTTGAGGTTTTCATTGATCTCGATCTCGTCTAAAGGAATGGTTAGGGTTTCATCGGATAGGCACTTTTTGAGATTTGAAACATTGAAGACAGGACGAATGTTACTGAGTTCGTGAGGTAAGTGGAGTTTATAGGCAACTGGACCGATCCTGGAAAGGATCTCAAAGGGTCCAATATACCTTGGATTAAGTTTCCCATGCTTACCAAAGCGTACAGTACCTTTCCAGGGCGAGACTTTTAACAGGACTCGGTCTCCAACCTGGAATTCTAGCGGTTTCCGACGATTATCAGCGTAACTCTTTTGACGATCACGTGAGGCTTTCAGTCGGTTACGGATTTAAATGATCTTTTCGGTGGTTTCGCGGATGATTTCAGGACCAGTGAGAGCACTGTCGGGGACTCGACTCCTGGCTAACTGTGTATCCCCCACCTCGGCCCAGCACAGAGGGGATCTGCACTTACGACCGTATAGGGCTTCGAACGGAGCAGCCCTAATGCTGGTGTGGTAACTGTTGTTGTACGAGAACTCGATCAAGGATAGATGTGTATCCCACGACTTTCCAAAGTCAATGACACATGCCCGAAGCATGTCCTCCAGGGTTTGGATTGTTCTCTCACTCTGTCCATCGGTCTGAGGATGATACGCCGTGCTCATATCTAGTTTGGTTCCAAGGGCTTTCTGAAGGATTGCCAGAATCTGGAGGTAAACCTACTATCTCGATCGGAGATAATGGATACAGGTACACCATGAAGACGTACTACCTCCTGGATGTAGATTCGCGCGAGTCTCTCCATCTTGTATGATT